CACACATTTTTCACACTGAGTGAGGAGGATCAATAAAGGCTTTACTTAGAGGGTCAGAGGTCAAACCGAAGTAAGGAAACAAAAGTTTATTTATACAACACCTTTCCAAACCAAAGTGCTTCACAGAGACAGTGGTGGCCCAGAGGTTAGAGAAGCAAGCTTGTGACCGGGAGTTCGCTGGTCCAAATCCCAGTCTGGCAGGATAAAATCTGTGTGTGAAAAGTAAACCAAACAGTGCTTGCCCTCCCATAACCTCAACAGGCTGTGGTTGTTCTGGGCAGCTTCCAGGTGTGAATGTGATCAGGGTCTTCCTCCCTGAATAAATAAAGGTTAAAAAATATAGAAATATAGAAAATAACAATAGAAAGAAGAAGATGAGTCTTCAGCTGTGACTTAAAGCATCTGAGAGAGTTAACTGACCTGACTCCGTCAACCAGGGGGGAGACCGTCCTGCAGTAAATATTAGATACAGTAAATACTAAAGAGACCAAGGAGAGAAAATGTCTCCTTGTGTTTTTAGTTTAGAGCGAGGTTTAACTAGCTAGGCTTTAGTCAGGGGACCTGAGGGGCTGAGAAGAGTCATGGGGCCTTATTTAAATACTCTGGAGCCAGATTATTTAGCGCCTTATTGATGAGGCGGGAGATCTTAAAGCCTAAATTTAACCAGCAGCCAGTGCAGCGGCATCAGGTTCAGGGTGATGTGAGAGGGATATGGGGTCTTAGTGAGTCTTGCTGCAGAGTTTTGGACTGACTGTAACTGCAGTGTCTTGGCTCAGGCAGGAATAAAGAGCATCACAGAAGTCAAGGCGGGAGGACACAAAGGCAGGAAGACCATCTCCAACTGATGGAAAGAAATTAGAGGCGTATCTTCAGAATGCTTCTCAGGTGAAAACAGCAGGACTGAGTGACTGTCTGGACACGTTCAGCAAATTTCAGTTGGTTGTTGAAAACGATGCCAAGTTTCTGGAGGAGGCTTTTCTACTCATGGATCTAGGTGTTGGAGGAGACCTGATGTGGGGAGAGTCAGGTTTGAGAAGTCATTAGGCCTAACATAAGTAAATCTGTGTGTCATCAGCGTAGAAATGACAAAGCACACACCCATACTGAGGGATCAGGTAGTTCCCAGTAACTAATACCTCATCAGAGTGAGGAAGAAGAGATAAAGTAAAGTAAACACTGGGAGTGAGGGTCCGGAGGTCTGCAGAGAACCACAAGCTGTTGGTTGTGGTCTGTGAAAGGGACTACATGTATGTTCCCATCTGGAGTTTAAATTAGACTTAAAGATTAAGGCATCACCCTGTTCAGTGACCCGAGCCACTTTGGCCACTTTGTTTGCTGCTAATTAACTTCTGTTAGCATGCTAACACGCTGAACTAAGATGGTGAACGTTATACGTACACATCAGTATGTTAGCAATTAGCTCATAGCAGCGCTGTGTGTCGGCTGCAGAAGTGTCCTGAGATCTCAGCTGCACCCTGAAGCTGCAGGATCTCCTGCCACCCTAACATGGGGATGAGTCTGGGACCAGTGTGAGTGTGTTAGTGTGTGTTAGTGTTAGTGTGGTCAGGACAGTCTGGGATCTCTCCTCAGAAGGGGATTGTGTTGTACATCATGTAAACTGATGCGGTCACTGTTTTGGCTCGCCGCTTAGGTGTAAATGTGTGTGTGTGAATCAACATGCTGCCATATGAGGAGGTGAGGGAGGAAGAGCAGATTTCACTTGTTCAGCTTTAAGTTTCAGAAATGAGATTTAGGATAATAAATGGAGTGGAGGTGGACATTTTGAAGGCAGACTAACAGGTCTTTGAGAGTCAGAATTCTAGCTGATAGACAGGTGTTCAAATACTTATTTGCAGCTGTATCATACAAATAAATAGTTAAAAAATCATACATTGTGATTTCTGGATTATTTTTTAGATTATTTCTCTCACAGTGGACATGCACCTACGATGACAATTTCAGACCCCTCCATGATTTCTAAGTGGGAGAACTTGCAAAATAGCAGGGTGTTCAAATACTTATTTTCCTCACTGTATATGAACATAGTGATCTACAAAACTCTACTTACCAGTTTCTACTATTATTTCTATTCCTTTTGTGCCATGTGAGAATCTGTAGCAAAGTATTCTGATTCAGTACGATCAGGTACTGTTCTACTTCTTATACTTCTACCTCAGTACATTTAAGGGGGAAATCCTGCAGTTTTCACTTCTGCACATGTATTTGACAGCTGTAGTTACAGGTTTCATGATGCTGTCAGATCTGACAGGAGGATGCTGATTTCTAATGATCCTGCTGCATCACAGTCTCAGTTCAGTCTCTGAGCATCAGGCCTCTGATTGGCTGCTTCTCCGGGGACAGACGGGCGTCCTGGGTCGGTTTAACCAGACGGGTCAGAAGTGTAACAGGAGACGTGTTCGTGCTGCTGATGAGTGTAGATCAGTCAGTAACGGCTTCATGGGGGGGCACAGCTGAGAATGGAAACCCAGACGCCACAGGAGGTTTCAAACATGTGTCTGAGTCAGCTGCAGGGTCAGAACCCGGTCCTGGGGACTGAGGACACAGAGAGATCAGCTCCTCCAGTGATTCTGATTAAAAGTTTTGATTGGAACGCTGTGACTTCACGCTGCTGATTGACCTGTGATTGGCTGACGAGCTGCTGACAGGCGCAGCGAGGAGTCAGATGGAGGTCTCATCAACGCCGTCAGACCGGCTGCTGACAGTAAACACAGCTGCAGATCCCAGACCCTGGATCAGGACTGGACCACGAGGAAACAAAACAACTCGTGTATAATAATGACCTCCCCGCCTCACTTCCTGTCAGGCTGCAGAACCTTTAACTGAAGTAGGTCAGAGGGTGAAGTGCCCAGACCTTTAATCTGTAGTCATGAACTGAACCAGCTGACAACAGGATGGACTCTGACTAGCTGCTAGCAAGCTAACGGCTGACAGGAGGTGTGAGTTTCAGTGTCGGACATGGAGACAGGATGTCAGAGATGGCTGAGGTGTGAGACTGTCACCTAAAACTGTCTGACCTTCACCAGATGCTCCGAACAAGACACTCTGTCCCACTGTCTCAAATCAATAAGCTTTATTAACACAAACGTTGAGGTTCAACCATGTTCCCGAAGCAGAAAGTCACAAACAATAAAAATGACATAAAAAAGAGAGAAAACAATCTAAAAACAAAGTATATGTTATATCTTGCTTTTTAACTACGATCATGATATTTGTGATAATTTTATACATAAATATATTGTTAATGATTTATTAACATATTTTAATATTTTAGTTTCCTCTTGTTGTTCTCAACCTCTCTCTCCCTCAGTTTGCTTGAGTATTTAAAGGTTCAGTGTGTGATACTGATCTACGGACAGAAATGCAATAAAATATCCATAACTATGTTCTCAGTGATGTAGAAAGGCCTTACATACTGAACCATTATGTTTTTATTACCTTAGAATGAGACATTTCTACCTACCTGAACTCTATAATCCAAGCCCACGTTGCTTCTGGGCCGCTGTGCTCCTCCAACGAACGCCGCCTGGCTCTGCCGTCCCTTCACACAAAGCGACCTCAGTCTCTGTTCTCATCTGTGACACCACGATGGTGGAACGAGCTGCCGCACGCCATCAGAGCAGTGGCGTCCCTCTCTGACTCCAAGACGCTCCTGAAAACTCTGCAGAGAACAGTTCCTCTGATAACACCTCTGACATCACTTCCTCTTCTTCTGTCCCCTTACAGTTATTTTGTACTGACTGACTTCCGCTGGTTATTTACCCCATTGATGTGATATGTGCTATGAGCTCTAACTAGTATTGTCAGTTATAGATCTCGTGCTGTATTTGATGCTCTGAAGATGCTTGTATGTTGTTTCTCAAAAGTCGCTTTGGATAAAAGCGTGTGCCAGATGAGTAAATGTAAATGTACAGAGAGTGTTTTGTCTCTATGGTGGATACTTACGAAGAAGAAGAACTAGTAGCAGAAGCCGTCTCCTGACAAACACTTTGAGAGAGGACGTCAGAAACTCATGGAGGACGTCGAGAGACACAGGCTGCTGCTTCCCGTTCAGCTGCAGGACAGAATCAAGGTCAGCTGGTTTAGATATGCAGGGTCAGGGTCAGGGTCAGGGTCAGGGTCAGGGTCAGGGTCAGGGTCAGGCCCGCCGAGTCCTGGAGGGGCTGTTTAATGATTCAGCTACAATACTAAAGTTATAAATATCTACTTTTGCAGTTTTCACTTATTTCCACAATTTCAGAGCAAACATTTTTTGAAAAGCTGCTGCAAAATCCCGGAGGGACAGATTATTCTTTATTTATTGTTTTCTTGAAGTTCTTTGATATCTGGAATTCCTCTAAATGTTGCTCTCTTATGCTTCTATATTCATCACATCTCTCTGTCTGTTTCTGAAATATCTTTATTGGCAGAAAGAAAGATGTTTATGTTGCCAAAGTAACAGCAAACATTCAAAGAAACAAACAATAACACTGTTTTTAGACCTGCGTCCCTCTGGTTCTCCTCGGGCGCTGGCAGGGGTGGATTTAGCTGCAGCTAGTTCACATGTTGGCAGGTGTGGAAGTTCTCCTGGATTATTTTTGGTCTCAGTAATTTATGAGAAGCAGTTTTCTCTTTTTCACACATGGTTCATTTTCCTGTGATGAACAAAGTGAGCGTGTCAGGTTTGTCTCGACAGCCTGGTTCCGTTCAGTCCGGACAGGGTCAAGGTTCTGCACTGTTCTTTGTTGGGTTAGAGAGGTCGTTAGTTAATTAGCTTCTGTTTAAATAACTCCTGCTGGCTTGGGGGGGGGGGGGGGCACAAACTCAGGACCAGCTGATTTAGGGGACCCTCCTCTCTCTCTCTCTCTCTCTCTCTCTCTCTCTCTCTCTCTCTCTGAGGAATGCAGTGAATGATGAGAGAAAGTCCGGTGGCGCCGTGAGCTGTCTGATTGGCCGCTTCCCTCAGGGCCTGCCCTATAAGGAATCAAGCAAAGGAGAGAGGGAGGAGGGAGGAGGGGAGGAGGCCGGGCCATGTTTGGGATGGAGGGATGGATGGAGGAGGTGGAGGGTTGATAAACTCAGTCGCAGCAGTTCAGCTCTCACTTCTGTCCTGCCCCCCCTCACATCCCAGCAGGCCCTGCACTGCCACGGTAAGACCTCCATCACCTCCTGCTTCACCTCCCCAACCTCTCCTCTCTGCTCCTTCCCTCCTCTGTTCCCCACTCCTCAAAGCCCCCTCACTTCACCTCCTCCCTTCTCATTAAATTCAGAATCTTATCTCCTAAAGCCTGCACACCTCCTCTCCTCTTTTTACTTTTCACCTCCTCTTCCTCCTCCTTCTTTGCACTCTCCCTTCTTTAGTGTAAAACCTGCACCATGTTTTGTCTGCTCCTAAAGTGCCTTTCCTCCTCCTGCACCTCCTCCCCTCTCCGGCCCTCTCTACAATCTCCTTTTCTTCTTCTCTTTGACTCCTGCATTATTTCTTCTTGTCTCCTCTTTGATGCTCCTATCTGCACCTCCTCTCTTAGTACTCTTCATCTCCCCTCCCCTCACCTCCTCACCTCCTTTTCTTCCTGCTTCTGTCTGCTCAGTGTCTTTGCTGCAAAACTCCTCTTTCACCTCCTCTCCTCTCAGTGTAGCTAAACAAAGAGTTGTTTCCTCCTCCCCCCTGCTCCTCTCTCAGTTTAACTGAAGAGAAGTTCTCCTTTACCTCCTCCTCCACCTCCTCCTCCATCTCCACTTTTATTGTCCTCTCTGTTGAGTTGCACTTGTTTGTGGAATCACACCAGACTCCACTTGTGTTTTTGGTGTTTTTAGTGTTGAGGGTTTTCTGCTGCAGGGAATCAGAACCTCTGACGTTCTCTGAGGAACTTCATCTCGTGCATGACCTGCTGAGGTTTTAGGGCCCGTTCTTAGTCTGATGAGTGCACGTGCAACAGGTGTTCTGCCCTGAGTGTTGACTGGCAGGCAAGCTTGCAGATTCAAACCCCGCCTCCATCATAACATCACATTGATCATGTTTTCCTTTAACAAACACAGAAGCTAACTGTTGTATTTTCAAATTAAAGTACGGAAGCCCAGAGGAACAGTTTGCTTTTGTCGTCCTGGTGTGATTGTTTACATGTAAAAGGTCGTTGAGCTTGAGTTTGATAAAAATGTTAACATGAGATTGACTGATGAGGTTTTTCAGCAGCTTTCAGCCACGTCTCATGGTCTTCATCAGTGGTTGGAGTGAGTGAACTCTGACCATGACTGAAAGCTCTGGGAGGAAAAGTGGAATACAGATCTTGAGATCTGATCTACAGATCTTATTATTTTTATATGGTCAAAATGTCCTTATTTGGTTATCTGGTGACTTACTGATCTGAAGCTACAGTATTTTTAATGCTGTTCAGCTTGCAGGGGACAGCACTATTGATCAGTGCAGCAACATGATCATAGGTTTATTTTAGTAAGTAACTCAGTAAGGGACGGTTATAACTTTCTATTTAATCATTTTTCTTCTTCTTGAGTTTTATTATTGTCGTTTCAAATTTTATCTGATATAAAGTGAAGTTTTAAAATTAAACTTTTAGATGTGATGTTTTAAGCCTGATGTCTCTACAGCAGCACATGTGGATTTATCCGCCGCTGAAAGTAGTCCCCAACAGATGCTCTATCTCCTCCAGTTTGTTTAGTAAAATGCCTTTTTAAACATGAAACTTTATATTTGAGAGGAGTTTTTATCTTCAGGAGGAACCAATGGGCTCGCAGCTGAGAGCCTCAGACAGGAAGTCAGACAGGCAGAGTCTGAGAGATGTTAATAATAATTGAAATCTATCCTCACATCAAAACGTTACACAGCCGTTATTTAAACGAGCCGGAGCAGAGCTTTTTTATTTAAAAAGGTCGTTTAAAAAGGTCTTTTTCAAGATTGACTATCAAAAAAATATATAATTAATGTGAGAGAGAGAGAAGACAAAACTGAGGGTGAAGGGAGCCCCATGTTGTGTCAGGCTGCTGCTGCCAACATGTGATTAATATGTGATTCAATATGTGATGACTAAATATGGTCGAGACTCACTGTGGGTGGGGGGGGAGGGGGGGGGGAGAGAAAGAGGGGGAGGCGGGGTAAGATGGGGGAAACAGGGAAGGAGAGAGAGAGAGAGAGGGTGAGCGAGCATACCAAGCACAGGCAGGACTCTGGTTTATGACCTAATTAGGAAGTTTTCCCAGAGTGCTTTGTTGTTCATTCAGTAAAGGACAGTAGTGTTGCATTATGGGGGGAGGAGGGGGGGAGTGATGTCACTGCTGTCACGTGAAAACCTCACAACTCCTTTTTTGGAGATTTGCATGTTGAAGGTGGGGATCAGATGTTTCCTGTAACTCCACGCTGGGTGTTGTAGTTTCATTGACCGTACTGTAGTTTATACTGTGTGTCCAAAAGTATGTGGACGCCGCTGTGACAGGCTGCAGTGTGCTCTGTGAGCAGCCCAGGCTGCAGGTTCACCAGTTAAACCAGTTTGTCTCTATCAATAACCAATAATCACCTCGCGCTCTCTCTCCCACAGTGTGACTCGGTGTCGTAGTGTTGTTGCTCGCCCACAGCGCCCCCTGCAGTCATGTGTGACGATGAGGAGAGCACCGCGCTGGTCTGTGACAATGGATCCGGTCTGTGTAAGGCCGGGTTCGCCGGAGACGACGCCCCCAGAGCCGTCTTCCCCTCCATCGTGGGCCGACCCAGGCACCAGGTGACAGCTGATTGGTCCACACACAGGGACAGGCTAATGCTAATGTTACCACTGTTTACATGATCAATGAATCCACACAATTGTATAGATTGATTGATTAATAGTGAAAAAGTTAATGTCTGAGGTGTTTGAGAGACGGACCACAGAGTTCCTGATCGATAATGTCCTGATCAATTGACAAAGACTAAGGAGTATTGATCTGTTCGCCAGAATCAGCACGTTAGACTAGACTCCCAGCTGCTGTCTTATTAGCAGCTTTAATGATCTCATGAGACCTCAGGTCCATGACTAGGCTGGGGATCATGTGGATTTGGCCTGACTCTGGTCTCGGTTGGCAGGGACCACGTGGACCACCGACAACCTGTAGTTCAGAGTGCTGAAGTTTTTAAAGGAGGTGACAGAGGTCCATTGATCAAGTTAAAGAAAATCTAGGCCGTAGATTCACCCCGTACCCTACACTGTACCCTACTCCGTACCCTACACTGTACCCTACTCCGTAACCTACACTGTACCCTACATTGTATCCTAACCGGTATTCAGGCTGGAGAGATTTATTCCTAAGTTGTGCCCTACGTTTTACCCTACGCCGTACCTTACACTGTACCCTAACTTGTACCCTACATTGTACCCTACTCTGTAGCCTGACGTGCACCTCCCCAAAATGTAACAACATGTCGCGGCAACTCAGACAGCAAGAACTGTGATTGGTCGGCTTGGTAGCATCGATAACATTTGGAAAGTCTAGAAGAGCCGCACGGTTATTACTTTACCCCCATTCAAGTTAGCGGAGGGCTAAACAGAAATTCTACCTTTAAATGTTTGAAACGCTGGTCTTTATGATGCTGTCATGCAGACACTGGCCTGTCTCACTCTCTGCCCGTCTGTCTCAGGGAGTGATGGTGGGTATGGGGCAGAAGGACAGCTACGTTGGGGACGAGGCTCAGAGTAAAAGAGGAATCCTGACCCTGAAATATCCCATCGAACACGGAATCATCACCAACTGGGACGACATGGAGAAGGTCTCTCACTCACACTCAATCACCTCTTTATCCTCGTGAACTTATTATCAATGATTCTGATCAGTAACTGTGATCATTATCTGCTCTGTGATTGGTCAGATCTGGCATCACTCGTTCTACAACGAGCTGAGAGTGGCTCCAGAGGAACATCCCACCCTGCTGACTGAAGCTCCCCTCAACCCCAAAGCCAACAGGGAGAAGATGACACAGGTACTACTGCAGAACTGCAGTACCACACAGCATTATACTACCGCACACTACACTACAGTACACAGCAGTACTCAACACTAAACCACATGATACGACGCTGTGCGCTGCCCAGACATAGGAGAAATCACATCATGTGATACAGTCATTTCAAAATCATTTAAAATTTTAAATCATTTTAGTTCCACTCATCAATATTGAACAGATGATAGACAGATTTTAGAGTCAGAGACTCGCTGTGACATCGTTAGCAGCTAGAGAGCAGGTATTTCCTCAGTTCTGCCTGCAGGTGCAAGAAGAGATGAATGCTTAGTAATAGTGATCAGTGCAGGACTGATCACTCTGGAGATTCACATTACTCCTTAAAGACAGATAAACTGAAATATTTCATCATCTCTTTTCTCCACTTTAAAATAAAGTTCTGAGAGTTTGCACAAACAGCAGCAGTTAGCTTTGACAACATGAGAGAACGTTGGTCTTCATGTTACAGACACAGTTTGATTGATGATCAGCTTCTGAACTAATCAAACTCATGTTTGTGTGTAGATCATGTTCGAGACCTTCAACGTTCCTGCCATGTACGTGGCCATCCAGGCCGTCCTGTCTCTGTACGCCTCCGGCCGCACCACAGGTTGGACCACACTCTGCCTCCTCTGTTCATCTCGTCTTCATCCAGCACCGACCCGTCTCATCCTTCTGTCTTACCTGTCTGTCTGTCCAGGTATCGTCCTGGACTCTGGGGACGGCGTAACCCACAACGTGCCGATCTACGAGGGTTACGCTCTGCCTCACGCCATCATGAGGTTGGACCTGGCTGGTCGTGACCTCACCGACTACCTCATGAAGATCCTGACCGAGCGAGGCTACAGCTTCGTCACCACGGGTATGACCTCGCCTTGTGTTCGTATGATGTCGTGGCGGCGTGAAGCGTATCTGAACGTGTGTGTGTGGTGTCTCTGCAGCGGAGAGAGAGATCGTGCGGGACATCAAGGAGAAGCTGTGCTATGTCGCTCTGGACTTTGAGAACGAGATGGGGACGGCGGCCACCTCGTCCTCTCTGGAGAAGAGCTATGAACTTCCTGATGGACAGGTCATCACCATCGGCAACGAGAGGTTCCGCTGCCCCGAGACACTCTTCCAGCCCTCCTTCATTGGTCAGACACCCCTCTGTCCAACTGTCTGTCTGTCCACCTGTCTGTCCGTCTGTCTGTCTACCCGTCCGCTCACCTCCATCTCTGCCCTGCAGGTATGGAGTCGGCAGGTATCCACGAGACGACCTACAACAGCATCATGAAGTGTGACATAGACATCCGTAAGGACCTGTACGCCAACAACGTGCTGTCCGGAGGAACCACCATGTACCCAGGTATCGCAGACCGCATGCAGAAAGAGATTACGGCCCTGGCACCCAGCACCATGAAGATCAAGGTCAGACACACCATACCAGCAAATACTGCGTTAATACTCTAATACTGCATTAAAAGTACTAATACCAAGGTTTCATCCCCTGTCCTGCAGATCATCGCCCCCCCAGAGAGGAAGTACTCTGTGTGGATCGGCGGCTCCATCCTGGCCTCCCTCTCCACCTTCCAGCAGATGTGGATCAGCAAGCAGGAGTACGACGAAGCCGGACCCTCCATCGTCCACCGCAAGTGTTTCTAGAAAGTTCCACCTGGGTCTCCAGCTTCCCCCCCCCCACACACACTCCTCGGTTTCCTTCCAGCACTGTCTTATTTTAGCCTCACTGAGCACGAGCTAACAGATCCCAGATCAGCTCCACAGAGACATCCACACGGGGACGACAGCGGCAGGACGCCAGTGATGTTTTTTGGTATTTAGGGAGATGCTAAAAATCTCTTCCTAGTTCAGTGTTTTATGCAGACAGCTGGTAAAAAGGAAGTGATGTCGTCTTCCTGATGTTTTTGCTGAACTGAACTTTTAACCATTCAGAACTTCCATCAGAAAATCTGCAGATTTTCAGCTCAAACATCCTCCCTCTCTGCTCACCTTAAAACTGTGAACGTGGCGCTTGTCCTCCATCTTTAACCCCCCACCTCCCCCTCTCTCCAGCTGTGGCCCCGCCCCCTCCGTCCTCCATGTTGGTACTGTCAGAAAGTGTGTTTTTATTTTTGATGAATAAAGCTTGAATGTTTCCCGCTGGTGTTATCTTCCGTCGTTGGGGAGTAGAGCACATTCACACAGTGTATGATGATGTCACACAGTGTATGATGATGTCACAGCTGTGAGGCGTGCCCTCATGGTGCATTAGAACCCTGCAACAAAGTGAAAGTGTGTGATGTGATTAACGTGGAAGTGACAGACGATCGCCCCAGGACGACAATAAAGAGCTCTCATACAAGATACCTGTGTTTGTGTCTTCACTTCAAGGTCGTTCAGTCCACTTCACATCAGTTCTGTGGGTTTTTTCATCGAGACACTTTAAACCCTTTCAGTGCTTCAACCTCAGCTGCATTTCCGACAAATCCCACATATTTCCAGACACTTGTTTGCACCAGAGGTTTGATTGGATAAGTGTGTTCTTATTTTGAAATAGAATCAACTTGAGAAGAGGGTATGAATATTGATCAGCTGTAGGCTGAGTGCAAGGGCGTCACTTTGTGTTGAAAAGTGGTGGTTGGACATAACGTTTAGAGGTGTGACGAGACACTCAGCTCACAAAACGAGACAATGCGCTGTACTGGTTTCATGAGAACAAGTGAGATATTTTAACACTATTTTGAAGAAATCTTCAAAGCTGAATTATATGAACACTCTTTTAGTAAAGAGTATTAAACAGTTAATTTCCTGCATTCTGGTGAATCTTTCTGCACCAATTTATGGTGGAAATGTTTACGTAAAGGGAAACACAAAATTCAGCGGCAGGATGCCATTTAAAAATAAATTAAACAGAATGTAAATCTGTGGTGCTCTCAGATCTGTTTCTCCTGTAGAGAAACTTATTTAATATCATCCCTGCTGAGTCATGATTTAATCTTCCCTCCTCTTTGGTCAAGTTACTGATCGCAGCACGTTTACGGGTCATTTTATAATCAGTAGCTTGGTTTTTATTAACTTAAGTTACTAATTTTGAACAATGCATAGTTGTTTCTGCTATACTTAAATTGCAGTGCATGTGTTTTCTTACTGTGCAAATTTTTCTAAAGGCGTTTTCATTTGTTAACATTTCACGTTGCTGTTTTTTAGAACGTTTTTAACAAATGCTTTCAAAATGTGGTGGTAACATGTCCCCAGCGTCCCTGGTGTAGATGTCCCATGACTTATGTCTGAGAGGAGCTGTAATTGCACTTATTATTGGCTAACAAACTATAGTTAGCTTATAGCTTTGTGACACCTTAAACATATTGTCACTGTCCGTGTATGTATTTGCCATAAATGAAGACCACTTATCCTGCGTACAGGGTCGCTGGAGCCAATCTGGGCGCTGGGCACAAGGCAGGGTCCACCCTGGACAGGTCACCAGTCCATCGCAGGGCCACACATAGATGAACAACCACTCACGCTCACACCTAAGGACAATTTAGGGTAACCAATTAACCTAGCCTGCATGTCTTTGGATGGTGGGAGGAAGCCGGGGCAACCGGGGTTTGAACCCACGGCCTTCTTGCTGTGAGGCGACAGTGCACCACCTTGCCACCCTGAAGAACAGAACAATTTTACTTAAATAATTACCTATAATGTATTAAACAGACTCAAATTGAACTGAAACTGATTGTTTTAATCAAACTCTATAAAGTCCCAAACAAAAGCTCTATTTCTAGTTTGTTAGATGAAAACTCTTTAAGAAACTACTTACAAATATACAAAAATATCTAATAATACCAGGCTTTTACTTTGAAATCTAAACTTAATATGTTATTTATTATTTAATACAGCAGGATAAAGTAAATTTATGTTGAAATGAAAACAACAAAAGCTTCCAGCAGGAAGGGAAGAAGTCAGATTAAGAGACAGACCACAGTAAGAATGAAGCGTCTCTGACGGGTCGGAGCAGCAGTTGGTTTTTTATTAACAAAAACAAGTTTAAAAACAGCTGTTCAGTTGATCTTCAACGAACATTAAAACATCGGCTGGTGCACAAAGTAAAAACATTCTGCATCCCCACACAGCAGCAGAGCAGGTTTGTTAGGAACCAGGGGGTTTATTACAAAGTTATTGACAATAACTTATTGATAAAACATAGATTTGAGATTAAATGATTTTGTTTTTTAAGGGTAAATTCAGGCCTGCAAACTCAAGTGAGATAACGGTATGTTTAATACGATGATTAGTTTCATGGCCTCTGAGATGAAAATACAACATTTATTACTGTGGGTACCGTAGGTCTCTTTCACAGCTGAAGTTCATTTGGTTCAGTACCAAGACATTTTTTTTTATTTGTGTATACAAATAAACCACAACATAAACCCCACGCTCTACACCTCCTGCTGTTACGCCGTAGGGAATGAGACAGCGTCTGTAGGGAACGTCAGAATGTCTCTAGCATACAAGAGTGTCTGTAGCGCATGAAAGAACGAGAGAGCATCTGTGTTATGCCATAGGGAATGCAGACAAAGTAAACTAACTTGTGTATGTCATGGACAGACAAGTGAAGAGTAAGAACCACAACTGCATCTATCCAGACCCAGGTAACGTTTGCAGGTGTGTTTACATGCTGTTTAATGTGTTACAGCTGAGCAGCTAACTAGCTAATTAGCCTGCACACTGATGTTAGCGGTGCGCTTTTCCCCACTGACTGTTTGCTTCCTCGTTCAGTACGAGACTTGTGTTCATGTTTGTAAGGTAGATAAGAGGGAGACGTTAGCATGAAGCTAAAGGGGGCGTTGTTCACAGTCTATGGCTCTTTCTGTGCGTTCTGTAGCTGCTGCTGATTGGCTCTTGTGTTGTGCAGCTGCTGCTGATTTTGGCTCTTGTGTTGTGCAGCTGCTGCTGATTGGCTCAGTGTGACTGCCTACGATACAGCGCTGACATTAATGCTTTGTGCAAGATTGTTTTCATCTCTACCTACGAAGGCGACCTCACGTGTTCTCTCCAGTTAATGCAAAACTAGGGATCAACGTCATGAAGCAAAAACATATCAAATATAAGTGGTGATTTGTTCTCTGAACACAGGCAGGTAAACATTCACGTTTGTTAGTTTTTCATAAGAAGGCACTCGTCACTTCAACACAGCACATCTTACACTGCAGGAGAAACTCTGATCCACAAAGAATAAAAGCAAAAATATAGAGATTTATATCTTTGTACAGCCAGCAGCTGATTCCAAAAGCAAAACAAACATTTGTTAGAACAAATTTCACAAAAATGTCAAAGCACTTCCAGAAAACCGAACACTGAGTTTTGAAATGCTTTTTTCAAAAAGGTCAAATGCTGAAAAACATCACGACGACACATTCACACTTCACAGTTTTCAATCAGCCCGGCAGTAAAGAGACAGACAGCGCCTCCTGTCTGTCACCTGAGGTCCAGCAGGCTGATCTTTGAGTCCCTCACCACCACATGTTTACACACCTGAGAGGGCGAGAGACATTCAGACACAGGCAGAGAGAGAGAGAGAGAGAGTTAAATGGTCCGAGATGTAGTAAACTGTCTCTAGAACATGGTTAGCTTAGCTTAGGAGAAGAGAGCTCTGATTGGTCAGGGTTGCTGAGCCAATCACAGCCTCCGATCCTGACAGAGTAACAGAGAGTTTCTCACGCTGAACAGAGGAGGCTCCTTGGAGTGAGGATGGAAACCTTTCAGTCTGCAGCCAGAAACCTCCGACATCCCCGGCCCGGTCAACCTGAACACACCAGTACTGAGAGAGGAGGGGGGTCAGAGTTAGAGGTTCAGTCCCACACAGGTGAAGTGTTAATCTATCAGTGATGGTGTTTATCTTTTCAGTCTGTTCAGGTATGATGGTTATACCTGATTCTGTCCTGTCATTTGTTTCAAAGGAAGCAGTGGCATGTGCTTTAGGTTTAGAAAAAAACATTATTATTGTTATTTTATTCCTAATCAGATTCTGTTTGTTGGCAACTCGAAATTCTTGCACATTTTTCCAAAATAATGGTTTAAGATTTGTTAAATATGCAGGTAAACGCTGCAGGCAACTATATCAGTTGAACCAATAGCATGCTGAGATACTGCCGGAGGGAAGTCATTAACCTATCAGGTACAGCTACTGAACACAGCTGCTGTTGGTTGCTGTTGCTGTTTCATGGCAGAAGCACCACTCGAGGCGAGTGTAAGTATTAATGCAACATGTTTTGTTGCAGCTTGGTTTTGTTTGAACGTATGGTGACCTTTTGTGTAAAGGTAGCGTTAGCTGTCTCATTAGCTAGTTTTCTTGCTTTAATATACATGCTGGGTAGTTTGTCTTTTTTTTCTCTTCGGCTGTACGTCTTGTTTTGTATGTTTCACGTTTGCAGATGATGCACTGTGTTGAAAGCAGGTGTGGTGCTTGTTGCATCTTTGCAGGAGCTTAATGTTTCCAGGACTCCGTGATTTTAAAATCCTCAGATCCAAGATGTCCCAACAAGCAAGCAATAACGCTAATGAAGCTAATGATGCTAATGAAGCTAAAGATGCTAATGATGCAATATTATGATTATAATATGAAATATTGCACTTTATAATCTGTGGTTACAATGCAAATATATTTTCAGTCAGTTATCATTCAGTTCACTCATTGATTTATGAATAACTAATTGGGGCAATTAACTTTCCGGTACTTTTCCAAGCTTGCTATTGGCCCATAAATATGATAAAAGTGGTTCTTCAAGCTTCAAGCATAAGTCATGCATGTTGGGACCCCAAACCCAGCTGCTAGTTGCTGTTAAACAAAAAATGTGCACGAGAGGCAGCTATTTTTGTTTAATTTGGTCAAGGTCAAGGTCAAGGTGTCTTTATTAGTACCCGAGGGTAAAATTTTTGTGCAGACAGGAGACTTTCGGCAATCCATACATAAAAACATCAAAACAAACAATAAGCATAGAACATTATAAAATATCAAAAGCCTAAAACTTCTAAAAGGAACATGGCAGTGTGCCTCTACACCACCACCCCCTAACCCCCACCCTCCTTACCCGCCCGCCCCCCCCTGGCTAAAACACATAAGGTGCTATACATAACATATACATAATTTGTTGTAAACTAATGATGGGGATCAAATAAATACTGAAAATCTCCCGTCGGCACCAAATTTATCAGATGCTAAGAATACAACTTTCTTCTAGAGTGACCTTTTCAACAATGCCATCCGGAAAAGAAGAAACGCTGATGCTGAAAATTATCTCTGCTTAAAACAACCTTGTGTTACGTCGTTGGGCATTTTGATGAAAGGCCTTGTGGGAAATGTGGTTTACAGTGCATCTGTGTGTGTGTGTGTGTGTGTGTGTGTGTACGCTGTGACCTACTCATTGTGTTTGGGAGCGCAGACGATGGCGATGGCTTCCTGCAGCATCAGCTGATAGGAGCAGTGAGTGTGGAGGTCAACGCTGGAGAGGAAGGCCGTCTGAGTGGGATGAGTCTGAACACAGAGAAGCCAATAACTGAACAACACAAACAGGTGGAAGGGCTCGGACTTGACTGCCCACCAACCCTGTGAGGACCCCACAGATGTTTAGATATGCTGTGTGTCCGTGGTTTATTTCATATTGTGAGGACTCAGGCCTGATTTCCCAATGACGCTGTTAAATCTGTTAAATGTTATGTTTCCAACCTCATTTATCATTCTTATAACATTTTCTGATGTTTTGGTGGTAAGAAAAACTTCTCATCCTGTAGAGAAATGTCTGAAAAGTGAAATATGAGGATGACACTAAAACATCTTGTGTTCGTAGATTAATGTTACAGCACCGTGCTGCAGAGTGAGACCTCTGTCCATCTGTTCCTATCTCCGTCCCTCTCTCTTCCCATCTGTTGCTCCACCAGGCACAGTTGCCATGGTGATATTTGATCATGCAAATGAAGGGGAAGAAAAAGTCCAGTGGAGGTCATTTTTCAAGGGGTGTATGATTAGCGGGCACATTTTTTTGTATAGCTCTGTCTTTTATCACTCTGTTGGGACCTAAACCTGACTGCCCACTCGCGCAGTGGTGACCTAAACCTGACTGCCCACTCGCGCTGTGGGGACCTAAACCTGACTGCCCACTCGCGCTGTGGGGACCTAAACCTGACTGCCCACTCGCGCTGTGGGGACCTAAACCTGACTGCCCACTGGCGCTGTGGGGACCGACACCTGACAGTCCACTCGCACTGAGGGGACCTAAACCTGACTGCCCACTCGCACTGAGGGGACCTAAACCTGACTGCTCACTAAAAATGGGGGGGTCCTAAGAGGGGACCTAAACCGGACAGCCCTCTCACACTGTGGGGACCTAAACCTGACAGCCCTCTCACACTGTGGGGACCTAAACCTGACTGCCCACTTGTGCCGTGGGGACCTAAACCTGACTGGCCACTCACGCTGTGGGGACCTAAACCTGACTGCTTACTAACAATGGGGGGTCCTAAGAGGGGACCTAAACCTGACTGCCCACTCATGTTGTGGGGACCTAAACCTGACAACCCACTTGTGCTGTGGGGACCTAAACTTGACTGCTCACTAACAATGTAGGGACCTAAACCTGACTGGCCACTCACGCTGTGGGGACCTAAACCTGACTGCCCACTCGCGCTGTGGGAACCTAAAATTGATCATTAAGTTGAAAATGAATTTTGAAGCCAAGACACCAAACATTTTCTGCATTCAGATTTTTAAATGTGAGTATTTCATTTTTTTTTGTTGTCAGTTATTATAGCACACTGAAAATAAACTAAATCAGGTTTCCTGACAAAACAATCTGTAGATTTATTAATGATTAAAACAATTTAAATTCTAGTTTAGAGGTCAAAAGAAATCGGTCTCTGAAACATCTCATTTGAGTGAACTGACCCGTTAGCATTAAAAAAATACTGCCAAAGAAATGAATGTAAGGAAAGTCCTCACAAGGAAACAAGCTGGTGTGCTGTTGGCCAAACAATCACAAGTCAAGGTCCACATATTGAAATGTTCTGGAGCTAACGATCACATAGTCAGTTTGCTCAGATGCCATGGAGCTGTTTCGTTTCCCTGGTCAGGGAAGTGTGTGTTTAACTTGTGTGTTTGGCGTGTAGTCGTACATGGATCCAGCCAAGCGTCAGCAGGTTCTGTTGGTCCTGGAAGCTGAACAGTTCCTCCACGTTCTCCATGTCGCAGAAATCCGGCCCAGCCGACTGTTTCGGGATCACGACGTGAGTCAGCATGAACTCATTGTGCGTCTGAGAGCGAGAGACATTCACACAGTTAACAGTCAGTAAACAGCCAACAGCAAGTAAACAGTCAGCAAGCAGCCAGTTAACAGTCAGCAAACAGTAAGTAAACAGTCAGCAAGCAGTCAGCAAACCGCCAGTAAACAGCCAGGAAACAGCCAGGAAACAGCCAACAGCATGTAAACAGTCAGCAAGCAGCCAGTTAATAGCCAGTTAACAGTCAGCAAACAGTAAGTAAACAGTCAGCAAGCAGTCAGCAAACCGCCAGTAAACAGCCAGGAAACAGCCATCAGCATGTAAACAGTCAGCAAGCAGCCTGCAAGCAGCCAATTAACAGCCAGTTAACAGCCAGTAAACAGCGAGTAGACAGTCAGTAAACAGTAAACAGCCAGTAAACAGTAAATGGACAGTAAATAGTAAACTGTCAGTAAACAGCAAACAGCCGGTTAACAGCAAACAGCCAGTAAACAGCAAACAGCCAGTAAACAGCCAGTAAGCAGTAATCAGCCAGTGTTAGGTGTAAGCAGCCTCACCAGTTGTCCACAGAGGACTCCACAGGTTTCTATTCCTCTGGCTGTGTTGGAGTCGGCCAGCAGGAGGAAACGATACGTCAGATCTCTGGGAATCACCACCCGCCTCAGACCCTCCACCCTCTGACCTGCACACACGAAACAAACATACACAGGAACACACAGGTCAATGATAAACTAAACTTCACACACAGGTACAAGTACAGGTGTGTGTGCTCACTGTGTACTCCAGCCAGCGTGGCAGCTGGTTGGCTGACGGGAGTTGGCGGTTTGATCCTGGTAGGATCCCCCCCCTGAGATCGTACAGTGTCTCTGATTGGCTGCTGAGACAGACAGGAGCCGTCCATCACCTCAGGCACTTTGGTCCCCACCTGAAGGAGAAACATGTCACTGCATATATAATACTAACACTAGTGATACCACTCAGTACTGATACTACAACTGCTCACTGAGAGTAGTAGTAAAGTGGGTCACCTTTTGCTCCGCCTCCTCTCCTCTCCTATTGGCCAGTTCTTGGCGCCTGAGTTGGTCCTCGAAGTAGCGAAACTGTTCTGATTCGATCTGCATGCGTCGCAGGGCGGCGACACGCTGCCGCTCCTCCTCCAACAGCAGGAACCGCCTCCTGTCCTCGTCCAATAGGGAGAGCCGCTGTAGCTGCTGGCCACACCCATCCACCACCACTGCCTGGCTCTGAGGAAACAGGAAGTCACATGATCAGGTCCGTCTGCTGAAGGTGACTGGTTTAAAGGTGAAGCGTCCGACTTACAGGAGATGACACGAACGACAATGGGGGCACTTTGTCCGACGTGAATGTGAGCATCGTCCGGATTACCGTGACGGCTCCATGTCTACTGACTCCCAAACGACCGGCTCCAAACCTGTCAGTTAAACTCTGATTTGTGCCCTGCCCCCAGAGACATCCAAGCCAATTAGACGTGTCTTTCCAGGCACCTCCTACAACTTATGGGACGTTTACTCTGCTAAGTCCAGAACAGTCTACGTTATCACCACCAACAGTCCAGTCAGCGGTCACACGTGGTTCAGGAGATTTGTTTTTAGCTAGGGAGGCAGTTAGTTTTGATGAAGTAGCTTTGTTGCTAGCTTGATACAATAGCTCGTGGGAGCCTGGGAGCTAGCTATGCTGTAGTAGCATTAAGCTAATGTGATGTTTACAACCCATCTCCAAAGCAAACATCAGCTCTAGCTAAGATTGGTCAGGTTATAAACAAGCTAAAGTTTCAAGATCTACTCACCATGTACAGTCCGTTCCACTGGATAATACCCATAATGCACCAGACCTCCTCTCAACAGGTGTTCATGTAGAAAAGCTCAATATAATAATAAATATTCAGGGATATCAGCAGATAAACTGACAGCTGCCTGCCTGTGTGTCATCTAATCTGATTAACAGCTTATCGGACATATGATGCGATCTGATTGGACGACACACACACACCTGGGCTCTGAGGTACTCGCTGTGTTCCCTGCTGTATTTCTCCTGAAGACGTTTCTTCAACTCGTCTTTACGAGGAAACGCCACTTCCTTAAGTTTCTATGGAGATAAACACAGAGTATAAATATTAAAACTACATTATGTATTAATACCACTACAAGTATTACTATTACACATGTAGTACTCCCCCCTGTAGCATCAGTACCTGCAGACATTTACAGCTACAAGCACCTGTCAGAGTTTCATGTGGCAACCGTCTGTAAAAACGTCACATTCAGATTCAACAGGAAGGTTGGACCAGGATTTGGGGGAGCACCAGTTCCCTTCACTGCTCTGTAGGCCAGCACCAGAGTCCTGGACTGGACCTGAGCTGTAGTGTAGTAAACTGGGGACAGGAGGTCTGCAGGTTCACCAGGTGTGGAGAAGCATTCAGGACTCCAGAGGTTGGAGACCGGCTCTTCTGGTCTGGAACCGGCTCTACTGATTTGGAAGCCGGCTCTACTGATTTGGAAGCCGGCTCTACTGATTTGGAAGCCGGCTCTACCCGTCTTGAGGCCGGCTCTGCCGGTCTGGGACTGGCTCTACTGGTCTGGGACTGGCTCTATTGGTCTGGTACTGGCTCTACTGGTCTGGTACTGGCTCTACTGGTCTGGAAGCCAGCTCTACCCGTCTTGAGGACGTCTATGCTGGTCTTGAGGCCCTCTCTACTGGTCTGGGATTGGCTTTACTGGTCTGGGACTGGCCCTACTGGTCTGGGATTGGCTCTACTGGGCTGGGATTGGCCCTACTGGTCTGGGATTGGCCCTACTGGTCTGGGATTGGCCCTACTGGTCTGGAGGCCAGCTCTGCCGGTCTGGAGGCCGGCTCTGCTGGTCTGGGACCGGCTCTGCTTGTCAAAGCCCTAACTTTTTGACTTGTCACACTGACGTCGTTGGTATCTGTCATGTTAACTCCAGCCCGTCAAAGTTGGTCAATAAATGTTAAACCCTCTCTGCTCGTGCACTACCTGTGCATGAAGACGTGTTTTGGGGGCGTGGCTTGGGAAGGACGCCTGAAGGGATTTTTCTGTAGGACACTTTCAACATCTGCTGGTTTCTCCGACGTTACTGACCCCAGCCTTAATGTCTGTCTCTCAGTCGCTCCTCTACTTTACTCCAGACTGAGCACTAGCAGCTGGATGTGGTGTTCTCATGTGGTTCAGACCTTCAGGTACCCCCTCAGGATAAACTGTAACAACTTCCTCTGACTTTTAGTGCCATCACCAGGTCAACGTGTCAACACTTTGATTTCCAACCAAATACGTGCAGAACTGATGTTAGCATGCTAACACGCTAAACGAAGCTGATGAACACGGTAAACATTCCACCCTCTCTGACCTTTCACCTGTCTGCGGCCTCACAGGGCTGCAGACAGGTCAAAGGTCGCTGGTTTGAGATGTAGCTGCACACAGAGACGCCTCCCTCCTCCCCAGTAATCAATATATTCACCTTCATGATGAGCTGCTTCTCTGGAACGCTGCACTGCTGATAGTCTCTGTGGCCGGGCAACTTCTCTACAAACAGACTGAACACACACAGCAGTTACAGACAGAGCGGGGGGGGGGGGGGGGGTATGGACGGCGCTGTCCTGATGTGTTCAGTGTCTCACGTGATGAACTTGGTGTAGAGGACGTAGGCGTTCTCCAGGCTGCCCTCTTCCAGGTAAACCGCCGCCATGCGCTCCATCTCCACTCCGGAGCGGAAGTAGCGCCTCGGCGCGATGTCCTCGTTGATCTCCACGCTGCATCCCATCTTTCCCAGCGCCCGCACACGCTCCGCTGCCGTCAGCGACACGTCCGTGTAGTCGGGCTCTGCCGCCAGCTTCTTCTGCACAACGAGAAACACACGGTTCAGACAGGAAGGAGACATCACACCTCACTGCGCCTGTTTCTGCTAAGGGCAGCGACCACGTTAATGCTTATCAATAGGACCTTTGACATGTTGACATGTTGAGCTCTGTGTTTGGTCTACAGCAGCTCCGGAGGGAAACATCTGGCTCTGTAGCCGCTAAATCTTCAGCAGCTACTCTCTGACTGACTCTGCAGCTTTTTAAACGAAGCTCCGGAGAGTGAAGCAGGAAAGGAAGCTGCAGCCGGACAGAGAACCAACCAGGTGAGAGTCTCTACAGAGTCTATTAATCACAGCCAGAGGACCAGTAAGTCTCAAGCAATCATGTCCAGACAGGCAGATCCAAGTCAAGTCTTAAGTCCTAAACTTTGATCTGCTCTACACCAATTAAGTGTTGATGAGTTTTTATTAATATGAACATTTATATTTGGGAGGGCGTCAAGTCAGCTCGACTCAGAGGGCTCCAAGTGAAGTCACGAGTCACTGGTGTTTAAGCCAAAGTCGAGTCTAAAGTCATCATATTTGTGGCTCGAGTCTGACTCGAGTCCAAGTCATGTGACTCGAGTCCACACCTCTTCCTACAGGTGTTTCAGGCCCGGAACTTGTTGTTCTGATTATTATTATTTTGATTATTTCCTTTCTTTGATAACTTTGAAATGAATTATGGGTATTCTGTGCAATCCCCCCAGGTGGACTCTCACAGAAAGTCCACTTGAGGTCCCATGTGGACATAATTTGAAAGCGGCCTCCACATTCGTTGACTTCCCAGGAACCCGTTAAGACCAAAGTCCAGACATGTGGATTCACGGCGATTTCAGTTTACCTCAGAGGATGGAAGTCGGAGCTGGGAATTTTGTAAAACCTGAGTTGGGAGTTCAGTACAACTGGAATGCACCCTCAGGCAAAGCGTGTGGTGCAGGTGCATCATGGGAAATGTAGGATCCAATGTTTGTGGCTCCACCTCTGATAATCAGATTAAATCTGTCTCAACATCTTCTTTACAGAAGATCCTCACTGAATCTCAGAGACCTCATCAAACATCTGGCAACTGAGCTGAAACTCAGATTTACGTCTCTGCTGGGAGCCTGAATGCAGCGTTTGTTCCACAGCTCATCTGCATAAGAGACAAACTGTCCTCTGTCCACTTGCCGCTTTCTATTCACGAGGCGCCATCGAAGACAAGAGGGCAGGAAATAAAACGACAGAGATAAAATAAATATATAAATAATAGAGGTGTGAAAGTGTGAGTGGGGGAGGGGAGGTGGATGTAAAGACGGGAGAGTAGAAGAAACTGGAGGAAAGATAAAGAAAAGAAAACATTTATTTTATTAAACATGCTGAAATATTTGTATGTTAGTTTCTCCCTGCATAGAATAATCATCCTAATAAAAGTTCCTCCACCGTGACTCTTATTTTGACACTTTTAGATTGGTATGTATTATTACTGAGAGACAGGAAATGATGGACAAAACTACCAAAATAAGACAAGTGTTTGACCAAAAAAACTCTTATTTTTGTCTTTCTCTCTGAGCGTCAGATGTTCGGATTGATTCCTAAGCAGTGGTTCGTTAGTAACCTGTTATATACTGTGTGTTTACATATTAGGGCGTGACGAGACACTCCGCTCACTGGACCACATTTTGAATTATTTTTACGAAATCAAGCCGAATTATTTGAACTCTTTGAGCATTAAAAAGTTCATTTCCTGCGTTCTGGTCAAACCTTCTGCATCAGTTTCTGGTGGAAATGTTTCTGTAAAGGAAACTGGAACAGAGTCTAACTCAGTGCTGCTCTCAGGTCTGTTTCTGCTGTAGATCAACGTCTTTAATATCTGCTGAGTCAGGATTTCGCCGTCCCTCCTCTTTGTGTCTCTGTTTGGGGAAGTGACATCTATAAATGTAACCGTGGCTCCTTTTCCCCTCCGTGAGACATGAATTAATTTAATTCAGTTAGAAACTCCTGGACTTTAACAGCTCCTGTGTTTCAGCAGACTTTCTGCCACAGATCTGTGTTCTCTCTGACCGGTCCAGAGAAATGGCAGAATATCACAAGACTAAAGTTTAATTTAACTCCTGCGTCGGGCCTACGGCGTAGCTAACGTGAATGGAGGTAAAATTATAAACGTGCAGCTGTTACAGCCTTTTCAAATGTTCTTGACCGAATGGATCTCCTTCTGATAGTGAAACGAGTCACTTCGCTCCTATATTGATCCATCGTGTTACAGCCGCTGGTTTGGCCACTAGTAGAAGTTACTTCAAAGTACGTGGCACTTCCTGTCTGCTCGGAGGCATTGCGAGGCAACCCACCCGACCAATCTGGTACCAATCGACGGCGTCGATTCAACGCAGAAGTATAAATCACACTTAACGTCATCATTTAATGAGAATTCATGATATTTAATAAACTACCTGCCCTGGGCTCTGCTGTGCATTACGTGTTAATTATAGATAATATTAATTATCTATCTATATCAAGATACACACACACAAACACACACACACACACACACGCACTGGTTACATCAGTTCAGCAGAAGCTGTGAGTGACTCAGTAAATGTTTCATTTTACAGAGACAAGATGTGGGCTTTTAATTTGAAGGTCTCACATCTCCCTGTTTATCTACAGCACACACACACACACACACACACACACACACACACACACACACACACACACACACACACACACACACACAGAAACACACACACACACACACACACTCACACAGAAACACACACACTCACACACACACACACACATACACACACACACACACACACTCACACACAGAAACACACACACACACACACACACACACACACACACACACACACACACTCACCAGTGTATTTAAGCTGAAGCCTTGTTCCATGGTGTGTGTGTGTGTGTGTGTGTGTGTGTGTGTGTGTGTGTGTGTGTGTGTGTGTGTGTGTCACAGGCTCTTGTCAGCCCACGGCGTCCATCTGCCACCTCCCATGATGCTTCACTGCAGGAGAGAGAGAAAACAAACCAGGCGTCAGCGATCATGTCCCGTTAACTTCCTGTGTGCGAGCAGCTAGCACGGTGGCTAAAGTTAACGGTCAGCAGCCAATCAGAGCGGGCCGTGCTGCTTCATTTCCCATCAGCCCCCTCATCAAGCTCGCTCGACCTTCAGTCTGGTCCACGGTCGCCATGACAACCGGTAACTAACCATCAGGTGAGTCATCCACTCGAACAGAGACGCCGACCTCCCGGCGCTCGCCACGCTCCCCCACCGACACCAGCACACACACTCGCTCCGCACGCCGCCGGCGCCGTCTGCTACGCCCGGCTCGTGGGAGGTCGCCATGGCAACAGGTGCATCCAGGCTGGACATAGATAGAGAGAGAGGGAGAGGCCGGGATCTGGTCAGATCCTGGTCCAGATGGATCCTGCAGCGTTTGGCCCCCTCGGTGTCAGTGTCCTTTGGGTCGGTGTGAACGGGGGGGGGGGGGGGGGGGTATCTGAGAGTCAATAGTACTTATGTAGTACTGCAGTAGTATCTCGTCACCCAGCAGCTTTCACACTTGTCGGACGGTCTCGCAGGCGTGCTGAGGACCTCCCTCCTTTACCGCCACTGAGGGGCCCTCGAGCGAAGGGGCCGGACTGAACTGGGCAGCTTCCTCCCCTGAAGGTTAAAAGATAAAACGCTCGCTTCGCTACAAAACGCAGCATTTGCTCTTGATGAAAGGCGACGTCGCGAGTCGGGACATCGCTCGTTCATTAAAGCGCTTCATGGACCCTGGATTTGCACCTGTGCGGCCGCGACCTGCTGACCGACCTCGCTGCTCCACTCAGGCTCCGCCCACACTCCTACGCTTTGAAAACAAAGACCCGAAACGCCGCCACCGTCGCTTTGTCCTCCCGTGTCCCTCTCGGTAACAGTTCCACCTCGCTGGTTCTTCACCGTCGCTGCTCTGCGTTCTCCAGTAGAACTTCCTTCTGCAGAGTAGACAATCTGCTTCCTGTTTACAGCGGCACGCACATGCTCAGTGTGCGTGAACGGTCACTGCAGTGGACGGGACATCGGTGTTCAAACCTGCGATCAACCCCTTAGGGTTGTTTTTGGACGTGCTGACCTTAGCGAGACAAATGCAACATCCGGTTAGACTTTCAAAATAAAACTAGAGATTAACGTTGTGAAAGGTCGCAGTTTGGTCGCACCGGCCTCCGTGGTTAAAGTCCGGTTTGTGAACCGCCTCCCCCTTCTGACCTTTCTGTCCTGTGCTGAACTATGAAACAAACGGCTGCCGTGTGCTTTGGCACCAGACGCCAACATGAACCTACAAGACGCCACAAGGACGCCATCACTGCAATATAGAGCTGGGCGGTAAAACAATTATTTTATCACAATATAATTTTCCTCAATAATAACAAATGTTCGATATAAATAATTACGATGATAAATGATGGAATTCATCTGAATCACAAACAAATTAGCACTTAATTTTTCTGTTAAGATATTTTGTTGAGGAAAAGATTTGTTTTGAATGTTCTTCTCAGATGTGCGAAGTGATCAGCTGTTCTGACCATCAGGTTTCACTCAGGAGCAAAAATCCGCCTTCACACTCGAAAGAAATAACGATTTGACGTTTATCCTGAATAATATCGAACGATATTAAATGTTTTTATCGTGGTAACATTTTTGGCCGCATCGCCCAGCCGTACTGCAGAGGCACTGAAAAACATGACTTACCAAACTGGGAAAACGCGGTTAATGACGGGTTTCACAGGAAGCTGCTCCTCCAAAAACCTGTTGAACTACTACAGGAGACTGTCAGAGTCCAGATGTTCTCAGCCCACGTGCGGACGCCAGGGCGAGACCCGTTGGCGTCAGACGTGGCTTCTGTGGGCACAAACTGGACCAGCTGGACACCTGGAAGCACCATCCTCACGGCGGTTCGGCCCAGGACCTTCAGCCCCGCCCGAGTCTCCAGACTCGCAGTCTGTGTGCCTTCAGGTGCTCGAACATCCTGCTCGTCCACATTCACTCTGCGGCTGGGCGACCTTTGACCTCCTCTTACACACTGAACCGACAGGAAACACCGGCTGGATGAAGCAGCAACATTCAGCAGATTGTGAAACTATCTGAACCAGGACCGCGCCTCCCTCCAGCGCCACGCCGCCTCAACACGTGTTCATTCTCTCCATGTCTGTGTGGGGGCGTTTCATTTATTGATGTGAGCGTGCTGCTTCTGAACCAACCTGCAGCTTTAAAGGGACTTAAAACACTTTCAGAGGCTTTAATGGGATTTTCAGAGGATGATTAACGGGTTGTAAAACAGCCGTCAGTCGCTGTTTTCACGGGATTAAAGGGGATTATTAATGAGTTGGAATAAACGGACACATGTTGTGTTTTCTGCATCTCAATGATCCATAAACACGTGACGGCCTTAGATTTTATTTTAAAGCAAACCGAACATTAAACACAGATTATAATCCATTAGATTATCTGTGGATTACCCTGAACAGAGTCGAACATTAGCTCATGTCAGAGATTAAGTCACTTTTCTTTAATTACAGGTGTTTTTCAGAGGTTAGCTCCATTTGTTCCTTTTAAATATGTAGGAAACTAATTAACACCCTTATTGTGACACAATCAGCAGCAAGTTACTGTAACTCACCTGATTTCAAATTAAAGGTCTGTTTTAAATAACTTAAATGTGTCATTTGATTCAAAATAAGACAGTTTGTGTCTCCCCGTGTGAACAAAGATTAATAACTCTGATTTCTTATTAGCTGCACATGAAATCAATATGTTTAAAGCTGGCTGAGTGAGACAGGAAGTCCCTTCTCCTGGTTTCCCCTGAACACACCGCAGATGACTGGCACAGTGAGAGAGGAAGGCACAGAGGAGAGAGCAGAAAGCTCCGGGAGGAAAGGGGTCCTTACCGGTTCGTTGTCCGCTGGATGTCCAGAAGCTGTCGGCATCACATGTGCAGCAGAGATAACCCGGGTCACACTAAAGCCGGACTCCGACCCGGGACCAGAATCGGACCCGGGTTTAAATGCAAGAGGGGGTGAAAGCAGATGTGAAAGAAGCAGCTGCTAAAATGGCTGAAAGCTCCGGCTGCGGCTGCAAAACACCGACTGACGGCAGAGATGGAGGAGCTCACAGATCCTGTCCGCGCGGGGACGGCTCACTCTGCGCATGCGCACCACAGCTGCTACACAGAGGCGTGAAGGAGTCGTGATGTCTCACTCTGACACGTTTTTACAAACTGAGGCTGATCCACATGATGATGATGATGTGTTACAATAATAAAAACAACAACAATAAAGATGATACCAACACTAATAACATCATTTCTGGATTACCGCTGATCACAGCTAAAAGGTGAAAAAAAGTAACAGTCATCCATTAATTTATAGCCTTGATGATTTAAATTTTAAACTACTGGTAATTTTCTCCTTCAGGTGTTTAGTTATTTAGAAGAATCTTGGATATAAAATCTGGAATCTGTATTTAAACATTAAATAAATATTGCAAAATTTTAAAATAACAACAGCTGTGTTAGTTTGCATGTGAGAGAAGTTACTGAGCCAATACTTCAATCCAGGTGAACATGCATATATATATATATATATATATATATATATATACATACATACACACACACACACACACACACACACACACAGTATCTCACAAAAAAGATTTAATGAGATATTTACAAAGATGTGAGGGGTGGACTCACTTCGGTGAGATACAGTATTTATACACTGGTTTGCAATAAAGATTACAAAGGAAACTGAGATTTTGGCACTTTGGCGTCTTCATCTTTTATGGAACCAGACGTGACCGTATTTGGTCAAAAGGGTGGAGCTCGGTTAGACAGGTGCATCTATAACTAAGATATTAGCTGAGATGCTAATTTCGGCTCGAGGATTTTCAAATGTTAACTGAAGAGAGATTAAAAGGAAAACAGCTGTAAAACTGAATCAATAGAAACTGCAGACTGTCGACGATCAAACACGTCACACTGTCAGTGTTCAGGAGTTACGAGATTTATTTAGTTTGATTCAAAACAGCTTCATATTTAGCAGAAATACGACAAATAATCAGTTTGTGTTTCAGAGCTTGATAAAAGTCCAGCCACGTGATTGGCTGCATGTTTAAAGAGAGTGTTAGTTCGCCAACAGGAGCCACGTCAGAACAAGTTCACCGAGCTCCTTCACAGTCTGAGGGAGGATTTTCACAATAAGAGTCCTGTTAGGTAAAAGCTTTATGTAAAACAGGTCATCAGAAGCGTTCCAGCAGATATTTCACGTGTAAACAGATAAAACCAGCTTCAGATCTGAGGACGTTTCAGGCGGTGAGCAGCAGGCTGCCGCCGCTCCACCCGACAGGCGGACAATACTGTAGGACAGGTGTGTACGCCGCCACGCCCTCTAGCGGTGTTCCTGCAGCAGCTTCAGGATGGAGGGGAACATCTGCTCAGGAGCATCCAGGCCCCAGATGAAGTCCAGATGTTCCCAGTGTTTGATGTGCTGATGGTAGACCAGGTTAGACACCTGAGGACAGACGGGTACGGCACTCACTACATGCTGAAAACCTGGACCTAAACTCTAAAACAGACCCACATTAGACCAAGACCAGATCAGCAGCCTCAGAGCTGCAGCTCCCCTGACGTCCACCAGGTGCTGCTGTGGCCTCTCTGTTAAAGAGGCGCGTTTCCTGCTGTCACCTGTGACCTCTCACCTCATTGGATCAGGAGACTCACCTGAGTGAGGAGGACAGCCACGTCTTTGGGGTCCGCCAGCGTATCCTGTCCCCCTGAGAACAGAGCGGTGGGAACCTTCATGTCCTGGACGTGGTACTGAGGGGGAGTGGACTGAGGACAGGAAGTAAACACAGACGTGAGCCGGCGTTCATGTGTCAGACGGACTGATCGGTGCAGGTAGAGTCTCACCTGGTTGTAGTGTTTCATGTTTCCTGCAGCTCCAAAGTCAAAGGCCATCAGCTTCCCTCCGTGAACGGCCTGGAAACAACAACAACAACAACAACGCTTCGTTCACCTTTCAACTCAATTCACAACAAAAGGGCGTCACGTACTACATTCCTCACTAAAGTTCATTCACATTTCGGCCGATTTAATTTCCAACTCTTCCTGTTCTTCCCGTTCTTCCTTCCTGCTGCCCAGGTCATTATAAAAACTGAAACCTTTCTGTCCCAGAGCTTCACGGGAAAATACACCAGTGAAACATTTAAAACACAGGTTTTCAGTGACGTCACGTCAGACAGGTTCAGAGTCTGTGGAGGTTCAAGGTAAAACGGGGTCAGGCTGCCGTTTGGGGTTCAGCTAGAATCAGGTTTAACACCCGAACCGCCAACGAGTCAAATTTACCCGCAGCTGCTTTTCAATCGTCTTTGGTTTAATATTTAAGTCTTTTCCTAAAAGTGTGTTCAGCAGCGCCGCCTGCTGTTAAAAAAGGTCACGGCGAAGCCAGATTTTAAAACCCGGCCTTCATACCAAGAAGCCCCAGCGGGTAATATTCAGAGAACACGTTCAGATAAACATTCTGCGTTGCTATGGGCAACACCTTTTCCACCGCAGTGAGTGAAGCGGAGTCTGACGGCGGGCGCTGGGCGGCGTGTCCTGGGTTGGTTATTAGATGTTAGAAGTTAACACGCAGAGCAGCCGCTGCTCGCTGCAGGATCATCACTGCTGATGCTGCGCAGCCTGTTTCCCGTGGCGGCAGGCGAACGTCCTGCACGGTGACGCCACGGTGAAGAGAATAAAACATGGTGTAAAGGCCTGAAACGTGGGGCGGGGGTTTCTGGGAGATGCAGAGCCAGGAGCTGAATGTTTGGAGCGGAAACGTTCTAGCGTTACATGACAGACAGACAGATGGCGTGTTACCTGGGCCCAGTGGACCATGTTCTGGACCGAGGTCCCGGCAGGACAGTGTGTGGTGTAGACCGGAGTCCGAGTCTGGAAACAAAGGATGGGGTCAGTGTCAGAGCCGGAGCATCAAAGAGCTCCATTTTACATATCATTAAGAATGTTTATGGCGGTCAGAAGCATTTCCTGTGTGCACGTTAATTATAAGATGTTACATTCTGTCAGCCGCGGCGTGTTTCTCGCCGCCATACCAACCATGTTGAGGTTTTTCTCGTCGAAGCCGCAGAGGATGAAGAACAGGTTTCCACACAGCTCGCTCAGCAGGTGCTTGCCGCACACGTGTTCCGCAAACCACTGGATCATCTCGCTCTGAGGCAGGAAGTCCCGCCTCCCGAACAGTTTCTGGCGAACGAGACCAAGAACGCATCGTCAATCAACACGGACCGATCAGCTGATCAATAACACAGAGAGAGACTCTTACCCAGATGAGGAAGTCGGGCAGGACCGACAGTTTGGTCATGGGGCTCGCGGTGAACGCCACGGTCGCTACGGGCGCCAAACCCAAGAACAACTTGATCTTACTGGCCAGTTCAGGTAGCGTGGAGAACGCTATGAATGCTGGGAAATAAAAGACACAAAGTAATGAGTTAGAACCAAGCAGGAACTGAAAAGATGAGGCTGATGTAAGAAAGTGTTTAAGACACAGACACGTTACCTATGGTGGTTCCCTGAGAGTGGCCGACGTAGAAGATCTGGTCCTGACCCGACACCTTCAGGATGTGGTCTACAACCGCTGGAAGGTCCTTCAGAGCCAACTCATCGTAACTACGGAGACAGAGCATGGCGTCACACAGGTGACGTCAGACAGGTGATGTCAGACAGGTTCAGACAGGTGACGTCACGTCAGACAGGTGGCGTCAGACAGGTGGCGTCACGTCAGACAGGTGGCGTCACGTCAGACAGGTGGCGTCACGTCAGACAGGTGACGTCAGACAGGTGACGTCAGACAGGTTCAGACAGATGGCGTCAGACAGGTGACGTCACGTCAGACAGGTGACGTCAGACAGGTTCAGACAGGTGGCGTCACGTCAGACAGGTGACGTCAGACAGGTTCAGACAGGTGACGTCAGACAGGTGGCGTCAGACAGGTGGCGTCACGTCAGACAGGTGACGTCACGTCAGACAGGTGACGTCAGACAGGTGACGTCACGTCAGACAGGTGGCGTCACGTCAGACAGGTTCAGACAGGTGACGTCAGACAGGTTCAGACAGGTGGCGTCAGACAGGTGACGTCACGTCAGACAGGTGGCGTCAGACAGGTGGCGTCACGTCAGACAGGTTCAGACAGGTGACGTCAGACAGGTGACATCAGACAGGTGGCGTCAGACAGGTGACGTCACGTCAGACAGGTGGCGTCAGACAGGTGGCGTCACGTCAGACAGGTGACGTCACGTCAGACAGGTTCAGACAGGTGGCGTCAGACAGGTGGCGTCACGTCAGACAGGTGGCGTCACGTCAGACAGGTGGCGTCACGTCAGACAGGTTCAGACAGGTGACGTCAGACAAGTTCAGACAGGTGGCGTCAGACAGGTGACGTCACGTCAGACAGGTGGCGTCAGACAGGTGGCGTCACGTCAGACAGGTGGCGTCACGTCAGACAGGTTCAGACAGGTGACGTCAGACAGGTTCAGACAGGTGGCGTCAGACAGGTGACGTCACGTCAGACAGGTGGCGTCAGACAGGTGGCGTCACGTCAGACAGGTGACGTCACGTCAGACAGGTTCAGACAGGTGGCGTCAGACAGGTTCAGACAGGTGACGTCACGTCAGACAGGTGGCGTCAGACAGGTGACATCAGACAGGTGACGTCACGTCAGACAGGTTCAGACAGGTGACGTCAGACAGGTTCAGACAGGTGGCGTCAGACAGGTTCAGACAGGTGGCGTCAGACAGGTGACGTCAGACAGGTTCAGACAGGTGACGTCACGTCAGACAGGTGACGTCACGTCAGATAGGTGGCGTCAGACAGGTGGCGTCAAGACAGGTGACGTCACCTGTCAGACAGGTGACGTCACGTCAGACAGGTTCAGACAGGTGACGTCAGACAGGTGACGTCACGTCAGACAGGTTCAGACAGGTGGCGTCAGACAGGTGACGTCACGTCAGACAGGTGGCGTCAGACAGGTGACATCAGACAGGTGACGTCACGTCAGACAGGTTCAGACAGGTGACGTCAGACAGGTTCAGACAGGTGGCGTCAGACAGGTTCAGACAGGTGGCGTCAGACAGGTGACGTCAGAGAGGTTCAGACAGGTGACGTCACGTCAGACAGGTGACGTCACGTCAGACAGGTGACGTCAGACAGGTGACGTCAGACAGGTTCAGACAGGTGGCGTCAGACAGGTGACGTCAGAGAGGGTCAGACAGGTGACGTCAGACAGGTGGCGTCACGTCAGACAGGTGACGTCACGTCAGACAGGTGACGTCACGTCAGACAGGTGACGTCACGTCAGACAGGTTCAGACAGGTGGCGTCAGACAGGTGACGTCACGTCAGACAGGTGACGTCACGTCAGACAGGTGACGTCACGTCAGACAGGTTCAGACAGGTGGCGTCAGACAGGTGACGTCACGTCAGACAGGTGACGTCACGTCAGACAGGTGACGTCACGTCAGACAGGTTCAGACAGGTGACATCAGACAGGTGACGTCACGTCAGACAGGTGACGTCACGTCAGACAGGTGACGTCACGTCAGACAGGTTCAGACAGGTGGCGTCAGACAGGTGACGTCACGTCAGACAGGTGGCGTCAGACAGGTGACATCACGTCAGACAGGTGACGTCACGTCAGACAGGTGGCGTTAGACAGGTGACGTCAGACAGGTGACGTCACGTCAGACAGGTTCAGACAGGTGACATCAGACAGGTGACGTCACGTCAGACAGGTTCAGACAGGTGACGTCAGACAGGTGGCGTCAGACAGGTGACGTCACGTCAGACAGGTGACGTCACGTCAGACAGGTGACGTCAGACAGGTGGCGTCAGACAGGTGACGTCACGTCAGACAGGTGACGTCACGTCAGACAGGTGACGTCACGTCAGACAGGTGACGTCACGTCAGACAGGTGGCGTCAGACAGGTGACGTCACGTCAGACAGGTGACGTCAGACAGGTGACGTCAGACAGGTGACGTCAGACAGGTGACGTCACGTCAGACAGGTTCAGACAGGTGACATCAGACAGGTGACGTCACGTCAGACAGGTGACGTCACGTCAGACAGGTTCAGACAGGTGACGTCACGTCAGACAGGTGGCGTCAGACAGGCGACGTCACCTCAGACAGGTGACGTCACGTCAGACGACGTCACGTCAGACAGGCGACGTCACCTCAGACAGGTGACGTCACGTCAGACAGGTTCAGACAGGTGACATCACGTCAGACAGGTGACGTCAGACAGGTTCAGACAGGTGACATCAGACAGGTGACGTCACGTCAGACAGGTGGCGTCAGACAGGTGACGTCACGTCAGACAGGTGACATCACGTCAGACAGGTGACATCACGTCAGACAGGTGACATCACGTCAGACAGGTGACGTCAGACAGGTGACGTCACGTCAGACAGGTTCAGACAGGTGACATCAGACAGGTGACGTCACGTCAGACAGGTGACGTCAGACAGGTGACGTCACGTCAGACAGGTTCAGACAGGTGACATCAGACAGGTGACGTCACGTCAGACAGGTGACGTCAGACAGGTGACGTCACGTCAGACAGGTGGCGTCAGACAGGTGACGTCACGTCAGACAGGTGACGTCACGTCAGACAGGTGGCGTCAGACAGGTGACGTCACGTCAGACAGGTGACGTCAGACAGGTGACGTCACGTCAGACAGGTGACGTCAGACAGGTGACGTCAGACAGGTGACGTCAGACAGGTGGCGTCAGACAGGTGACGTCAGACAGGTGACGTCACGTCAGACAGGTGACGTCAGACAGGTTCAGACAGGTGGCGTCACGTCAGACAGGTTCAGACAGGTGACGTCACGTCAGACAGGTGGCGTCAGACAGGTGACGTCACGTCAGACAGGTGACGTCACGTCAGACAGGTGGCGTCAGACAGGTGACGTCACGTCAGACAGGTGACGTCACGTCAGACAGGTGGCGTCAGACAGGTGACGTCACGTCAGACAGGTGACGTCAGACAGGTGACGTCAGACAGGTGGCGTCAGACAGGTGACGTCACGTCAGACAGGTGACGTCAGACAGGTGACATCAGACAGGTGACGTCAGACAGGTTCAGACAGGTGACATCAGATAGGTGACGTCACGTCAGACAGGTGACGTCACGTCAGACAGGTTCAGACAGGTGACATCAGACAGGTGGCGTCACGTCAGACAGGTTCAGACAGGTGGCGTCAGACAGGTGACGTCACGTCAGACAGGTGGCGTCAGACAGGCGACGTCACCTCAGACAGGTGACGTCACGTCAGACGACGTCACGTCAGACAGGTGACGTCACCTCAGACAGGTGACGTCACGTCAGACAGGTTCAGACAGGTGACATCACGTCAGACAGGTTCAGACAGGTGACATCAGACAGGTGACGTCACGTCAGACAGGTGGCGTCAGACAGGTGACGTCACGTCAGACAGGTGACATCACGTCAGACAGGTGACATCACGTCAGACAGGTGACATCACGTCAGACAGGTGACGTCAGACAGGTGACGTCACGTCAGACAGGTTCAGACAGGTGACGTCAGACAGGTGACGTCACGTCAGACAGGTGACGTCAGACAGGTGACGTCACGTCAGACAGGTGACGTCAGACAGGTGACGTCAGACAGGTGACGTCAGACAGGTGACGTCACGTCAGACAGGTGACGTCAGACAGGTGACGTCAGACAGGTGACGTCAGACAGGTGACGTCACGTCAGACAGGTGGCGTCAGACAGGTGACGTCACGTCAGACAGGTGACGTCACGTCAGACAGGTGGCGTCAGACAGGTGACGTCACGTCAGACAGGTGACGTCAGACAGGTGACGTCACGTCAGACAGGTGACGTCAGACAGGTGACGTCACGTCAGACAGGTGACGTCAGACAGGTGACGTCACGTCAGACAGGTGACGTCAGACAGGTGACGTCAGACAGGTGGCGTCAGACAGGTGACGTCAGACAGGTGGCGTCAGACAGGTGACGTCACGTCAGACAGGTGACGTCAGACAGGTGACGTCACGTCAGACAGGTGACGTCACGTCAGACAGGTGGCGTCAGACAGGTGACGTCACGTCAGACAGGTGACGTCAGACAGGTGACGTCACGTCAGACAGGTGACGTCAGACAGGTGACGTCACGTCAGACAGGTGACGTCAGACAGGTGACGTCAGACAGGTGGCGTCAGACAGGTGACGTCAGACAGGTGACGTCAGACAGGTGACGTCACGTCAGACAGGTGACGTCAGACAGGTGACGTCACGTCAGACAGGTGACGTCACGTCAGACAGGTGACGTCAGACAGGTGACGTCACGTCAGACAGGTGGCGTCAGACAGGTGACGTCACGTCAGACAGGTGACGTCAGACAGGTGACGTCAGACAGGTGACGTCAGACAGGTGGCGTCAGACAGGTGACGTCACGTCAGACAGGTGACGTCAGACAGGTGACG